ACAATTTCGGGCATTCGACTTTCAACGGTTGGAATGTATGGCGGACCCTTCCCTGTTGGAATGTATGGCGGACCCTTCCCTGGGAATCCAAGATGGAGTTTGCAGCAATTCTCTTGCGATGTGGTTGCTAATGTGCCTTTGGTTTCCGACTGCTTTAGCGAGGGACTAAAACGAACGGGAGCCATTGGGACAATCTATGTATGTATGATTCTTTTCATGCTTCTATTAATCATTCCAGAATTACGTCATTTGACAGGTTGCTGAGGGACAAACATTGTATTTTGTCAAGATTTGTCATATAAAACCAGAATTATTGGGATCGTTTTCCTTGGAATCCAAGTTGGAAACAGAAAGAATTTCATAATTTTGTTTGGTGAAACTGTTATTATATTGTGGATGTGGCAGCGATGGCCAGGGCTATGCTCATCAAAGGTAACCTAACAGATAGTTTGTGTGCCCCTCAAGAAACCATGTCAGAATCACGTGTTCTAGAATGGTCAATTGTTTGGCTGCAGTTATTCCTTGCTTCAACATATTCTGTCTGCTCTAGTCACGAGGTTTGGGTCCTTGCGCCAGCGATGGTAGGCTGTTTTTTTCAAGGCAACAACTCTAGAACAGTTCTTGTTGGACCAGGGTTTCGAAGCTGATGTTCTCTTCGAAGAATATACATACCACGTGTCCATTCCAAGTGACTACTAGACGTGGCGGTGCAAATGTTGCGGTATATTATTATCAAAGCATTTATCATTGCCAGATTCAATTTGAGGGTTCCAGCGAAGACTATTATTGCAACCTTATGTTTGTGGATATAATTCTCGAAATCATGATGCATTATTAGAGAAAAAATATTATAGAGGCCAAATTGAATTGGAGATGGACTGATGGGAATTTTATGACCTATAGTAAGGTATACCTAATTCGAACATTGAAAGAAGTTCAAGTGTTTTTTGTCAAGATGAATCAATGAAAATATTTAGATGAACAACAATATTATCTATTATTTCTTTGACGATTTCGTGTTCTCTGCAGGTTGCTTAGCTGTTTTTTAAGAATTTTATTTGTGATCTCTTCAGACGGAATTTCCACAGAACGGCTAATCATTCGGTTTTTAAGTCTCAATGATAAACAAAATAATCACACTTGACATGAGGGAAATTGAAGTGACGGGTGCATATTATAGATGAAATATGGTTTTGAGGCACAGGCATCAGGCATTATTACAGCGATAAAGAAGAATGAACCTTGTTTACGACAAAATTACTCACTTCATCGTCAAATGGGGTATTTTATGGAGGAGTTAATTCATCACAAAAAAATAAGTACTTATGTCTCGATAAGTGTCGAAATCATGAATAAATAAACTGGCCCACCCTGTATACGCGAATCGCTAGCTAGCTTCATTCAAATTGCCCGTCCGGATCACCCGGAGTTGCACGGATATGCGACAATGCGAACTCCCAACTCCGGGAATGATGACGAAATGTATTATTCCATTAGGTATATACACATTTTGACGAACTGTACGTACGGAAGGTTATCACCCTCAATGGACAGTGTTGCCAAATGCACGACTCAAATTCTCTCACAAAACTGTTACCTACTCATAAACACACAGGGTGCCCGTTTTTCGAGCTTCACCATGACCAACTAGCATTTATAGTCGCGATTACGTAATTACGACTATTGGGTCGACTATTAAGTAATATTTACTAGTTGCGGTTACGTTATAATTACGTCGTTACTACGTATTTACGACCAAAATGGGGAACAAATCACGAGTAATTATTACGGTTTGCCGACGTAGCGGGAACTCACACAATTACGTAATGCTTACGACCCGTCGACGTCGAAATTACGTAAAGATGTAGTAAATTTTCCTACCTGACTTTCTATTTCTTTTCCACTTCATAAGAATATTATTTTCTCTCTTTATTATTCTTCATTTCATCCATGAAGTTCACATTCACGAAAAATGAACAAGTCCAATATGCCTAACCATTCAATAAATAATACAGGGACAAACACGCGAAATAATTGATACTCGAACTTGAAAAATTCGAACAACATTCAGTTTTTCGATAAATGTGATGATTTTGCCTCGAAATTCAAGATGCGCCCACAAAATACGGCTCATTTCACCAAAAATATGGTTTTATTTCATTCGGCTATTTTTCAAAAATCATCTTAAATCATGTTAATTTCCATTATTATGCAATTTGTGATCGAACGAATGCTATTATTCTTCATAAAATGATGTTTATCAACAAGAAAAACCAAAATTATTTCCTGTTCAAATGGTTATCACATCAATCAATATGGCTTCCAATCGAAAATGAATCAGAAAGTTACTTTTGGAATTCGTCAGTTATGATAACCTATGTATTGGTAACTTCAACTGAATATAATTACCGAAAAGTTGTTTCAACTATGAAGGAATTGTTTGAGTAGGAATTACCAATATGTTACTTGAAATATCACCAAGAATTGACTAAATTATTAGGTGATCGATCAAGTAACGACAACGTCGTAGAAACCTAATTGGTGACCATAGAGTAATTGCAACTGTGAAGCCTTCTTGGGGTGGTAAGCGTTACCGTAATAATATATCCAAAGTTCCGAAACCTTAAGAGTAGTTTTGAGGAGTGACAGTTTCGAAATAGTTACTTCGTAATAAGCCATGAGAATTTCTCACTTTGAAGTTATTATCTAGTGTAAAAACTACGTAATTTTCACTCACTAAATAACTATCACTGACATTTATACTATGAAGTTCTGAAATAAGTGATAAATACGTTATTATCACTAAATATAGGTAATAGTTTCTTGAACCATGGTGCCTGTGACTGAAAATGCTAGTTGGGGGGGATCTCAGTTATTATAAGAGATACGAAGTCGGTCAAATTAGGGCAAAGTTGCACATTTTCATGCTGAACATTGGGTGTGTATATAATTTGCGGACTGGAATAAAATGTTGCGGACTGGCTATTTCCATCAAACTTTTCGATGTTTTTATTGCATATCTAGATTCAGCTCACCGATATACACGATGAGAAGTTTCAGTTTTTTTTCTATGACCCCCCTGGGGAGCACTTTACTCTTGTGTTTTTTCATAAAATCTTGCGGACTGGGTATTTTTGAGAGTCAAATCATCTCAATTTCACCATAAATCGATTCATCTCATGAAAATACACGATGAAAAGTTTTTGAATTTTTTCCCCAGCCCCCCTGGGGCTTGCCTTGAGAATGTCCCAGTCAGAAACGTATAGGTCTTTTGATTTCCGCCGAAAAAATAAAAACGAGAATTATACATTTTTGATTCCTTCCAATAATTCGAAAACGAAAAATAATGATACATCAAATTTTCTTGCAGTTCTTTCTAGTTTAACCGACCTAGTATCTCTTCTAATAACTGAGATCCATGGTGGAGCTCGAAAAACGGACACCTTGTATATGACACACAGATAGGGATGAGGGTACGAGAAAAAGTTTGATGACATGATGACGTTGTTGTTCCACTATATTGGAAATTGGAGTTGAAGTAGAATTTGGAATAGAATAAATCCGAGAATAAATCTAATACTCTGGGAATATTCGTTAGACCTGTATCATATTGATATGTTCTATATACAGGGTGTTTCATTACTAATTGGAAATATTCGAACTCAAGAATCTTGGGCTAAGAATATGATGGAGATTCAAATTAAATCACCTCGAAAAAAAGTGTAGTAATAACGACAAAGAAATTGAATATCTCAAAAAAATTTAATGGAATTATAAAACACCTCCAAATTTCCTTTTAGGTATATCTTCAATAATGAAAAAGTTATAGGGGTGAGAAACCTTGAAGAATCACCCGGTATACATGAAAATTTTGAAACATCAAATCAATTTTGACAGTTAAACAAGAGGTTTCATCGATGAGAAGAAGTGTTATTATATTATTATGTAAAACCAAATGATAGGCCACGGATCACGTATTACTATTGGTTGAAATCATAAAAATGATGAACAATGGTTTTATATTGATTATGAAAAATAAACGAGTCAAGTAAGTTAGTTGAACATGAATATATATATGTGAAGTTGGACCCTCTGTGGCCTCTGTAAATATTCAATGACACGAAACATCTCTCGCTTAGTCCAAGAGTCTCAGTCTGAGCCAAACCCAAGGCACTGCGATTTATTTGCTGTTATCATGAGATAACGAGTTGAAACAAGAAGCAAATAAGAGGGGATGATGTCACCTTTGCGAATATCCAAACTTGCCGCGATTAAACCTGATCTAAGTTAGTGGCATTTTCATACAATTCATTCCTGACGGTACTTTTGCGTCCAAAATTTCGAAAATTTTTATTGTCCAACGAAAAATATGGGAATTGAAAAAAAAATCGAATTTTACTGAGGTTATTGGGCACTAAAGTGATAAAGCAAGATCTGAAAAAAGTCCTGATATTTTTACGCTTTACGAAGCGAGCACAGGTTTTTCGAAGCTACAAACTTGACTTATTGAGTTCATACTACCCTTGCTGGTCCTAAAATTATATCAAAAAATCATTTTAGCCATTTTATTTATGACTGGCGAGTCAGATAGAATATTTCTGACGACCGCAACTGCTTTATCATGATTGCATGATTAAGTAGGTACCTGTCCACATTTTTCCGAAATTGCAAAACGTCGAATTGAATAAGAGGTTCAAATTATGCAACTTTTATCTAAATTACCAAATTGATTTGCTTCTATCATTAAATGCGCAATTCTTGCAATAATTTCACCTCTATCTGCCGGACTATTAGTGATTTTCTGTTTTTCTCCAATTTATAATGAAATCATAGATACTAGTAGGTAGAAGTACCTATATATTAAAATATAAGTGAATAATCAATCCAAAGGTCTTCCAAACACGCGCGATTTATCGAGAACGACGGCACTTAAATTTTCGTAAAAGAAGAAGCCGTAACGGAAATTTGAGAAGTAGAACCACTGATCTATGATCAGTGAGTAGAACGATGAATTAATAATATTGCCGGATAGCCCAGCAGCGAGATGTTTATAGGCAGCTCGTTCGAAAAGTTCGAAATAATTTTAACGAAATAACAGTGAAGAAGAATTGAGGTTAGAATTTGAACTTTAAAGTAAACAATAACAAAACTAGTATGTATTTTTGTTAGATGTATTTTTTAAAATTGACATGCATATTCTGTGTAGGGAAACATTACGTCATATGTTTATGATTATTATTCAATTTGATCAACAAGTAATTGGTGATGCTGATGCTGACAAGTCAAAAACAATAAAATACTGACCAAGTCACCATTAGATATAAACAATTAATAGATATAGGTATCTGAATTATTATAGGCACTGATACTGAATAACTGATGTGATATAAATATATTATCCACCTAACCTGCCAACTCAGTAATCTGCAAACATGACCTGACACGTCTATAAGTTCAAGTTCAACCAATCACCAATCAAAGCTTAACAGTCACAGATAAATAGGGCTTAGCCTTGCTTCTATATATACCCAACTTTCTACTTAAATCACTTTCAGCCAGGTGTGTGCTGTGAGAATCAATCAGTTAATAATGAGCCAAAGCAGACCAATGGATTCAAATTGTATAACATTGACAAGATTCTTCTTGGCTGAGCAGAAAAAAAGTCCTAAAGCAACAGGTGAACTCACACAACTTCTCAACTCTATCCAAACAGCTGTGAAGGTCATCAGCAGTGCTGTAAGAAAAGCTGGCATAACCCAACTGTGAGTTACTTGCATAAATCATTTGTTGAAAGTTAAAGTACCTACATATACTTATCCCTAATTTTATAAGTAGGTAGGTAGGCATTCTGGTTCACAAAATTAAAATTATTCATATTTCTCAACTTTTATCAGGGTTTGATATGATCTACATACCTAAAAAACTGAAACAAAAACCTTGCTGAGAACAGCCTTTCTAATACAGTTTCAATATAAGCATCTCAGTTTCAATAAAGATGCTTCATTTTAGGTTCTGGAGTTTTATAGACAAAATCAAATAAAAGAACTGATAGGTAGCAGGTGACTAGACCTAGTAGGTTGTCTGTTCAGTGTGCTAGAATTTAAGAATTTTTAGGTACCTAACCTATGCTTGACTTGAAAGCCTTTTGATTCTGGGCATGGACTTGAAATTTTGCAAATACCTACTTTAGCTATACATTTTCACTATGGTTTTAGTCACATTCCTAATTATGCTTTCAAATGATATGGCACTTACTTGTGACTGTTTTTGGAGAGTATGATGAAGTTTTCTGGAGGATGGTGGAGTACAGTTTTTAGCTGAGTAATCACTTAAATCACACACTTTCACTTAGTTTTGGAGACACACCCTTGAGCAAGTTTGAATTTATGCACAAAACCTAAACTAAATGCACACTAAATAGCATTGTATTACCTACCAGAAGCAATACAAGATGGCTGGTATTCCTGTTGCTACTAGATTCTCATAAGTATTGAAAAAGTGCTATTTTTTGCAGGTTTACCACATTATAGACTATACAGGGTGTTTCATAGAAAATAAGTCAACAGTAAATAGAGATCACCAAGGTGATTCTGAAGATACCATGAATTCTACCCTTATACCTATAGTTTTCATAAAAGAGGCATATGAAATATAATCAAATAGGGCCTTTTTATTTTTGTGCATACAATTTTACCACCTACATTTTTAAATTGAATGAGTTTTTTTTATTTGAATATGGATATGTCGGCGTCGAACAGTGAAATCCTTCATTTTCTGGAATGCCTAGTCATTTCACATATTGCCGGCAAACAGCATGACTCTAAATTTCATACGCCGTTTGCCTAATAGTTTCAGGCATTCCCTCTCCATTCCCTAATCCCTGTAATGACAGAAGGAAGTTTCTGTTCTCTCAAGTAATTTTCTGAAAAATATACTTTCAAGGAAGATGGTTCATTTAGGCGGTAAAATAGTATTCCATCTTATCCATATGCAGAAAGGATATTTTCTGAAAATGGGAGCTATGCTGTTTGCCGACAATACGTGAAATGACTATAGGCATTTCAGGGAATGACGGATATCACTAATAGACGCTGACAGATATATTATCATTTGTTTTGGTGAATAAATGGTAGGTACCTATATTATGCACCTTTTTGTCTAGATTTGGCACTGTTGGTGAAACAAATGTACAGGGGGAGGAAGTGAAGAAGCTTGATGTTCTTGCCAATGAACTCTTCATAAATATGCTCAAATCATCATATACGACAGCCTTACTCATATCTGAAGAAAATGAGACTGTTATAGAGGTGAGGAAATTATCTTCTGTCCTGATATTTTAATATAGGCTGCTATATACAGGGTGCATATCATAAGCATAACGGTGAAACAGCAACAGAGTGAATTCCTAATAAGAAAGTATAGGCACAGATTAACAAACCTCATACCACAGATTAACAAACCTTGTATAGGCACCTATTACAAGGTTCAAATATCCTCATTATCAAGAGAGATTCAGTTATTTTTACCTGAGTTGAATACAAAATATACCAAAAACACCACAATATTTACCTGCATTTTATATTGATGTAAATAGAGTTACTATGAATGGTATTTCTTGCAGTAAAATCTGCGTTCAGTCGTTGCCTTTCAAAAATACCATTCAAATTCCTTGTGACTTTCACATTTTCTCGCTCCAAAGTAAAACAATATACAATCACCGGCAAAAAAAACCCTCCCGGAAAAAATTTAGCCAAATTGTCACTTTTTTTTCTTGTCCGATTCTGGTGAAATTTTGACAAAATTGTAGATTCATGTTCAGATTTGTCCTCAAGAAAAGCAGATGACTTGATCATAATACAGGGAAAACCAAAAGATACTCTTTCACCCTCAACTTTTCAACACCCTGTGGCAAAAGTGAGTGCTATACTCGATTTTGTATTTTGGATTGAAATGTGATACCTTCTAAAAAAAATGGTCTCTGATTCACGTCAATATGATACAGGTGTTTTAAGGTATGGAATTTTTTATTTTCATTAAAAATGATTTAGAACCTAAAAGAGCACCTTTGGGAAGTTTTAATCTTCAGTAAAAATAATGCAGAACCTATAGAGCACCTTTGATCCGCCCTTTAAGAAGAATTTGAGGCAATTGCAGTTGTTTTTGCTAAGAAAACGAGTTGAAAATGAGCGATATTGATTTTTCCTTCGGTTTTTTTTTTTTCAAGTTGTTCATGTAGGTTCTGAATTATTGTTCATATGAATAAGTAAATTAATAGTTATTTAACCAACTAGTGTATTAATGAGGGCGATTAATGATCGAGATATTTTAACGTGCGAGCGAAGCGAGTGCGTTAATGTTCGAGATCATTAATCGCCTTTTAATATACAAGTTGGTTACAAAATTTTTCCGTCGACTATATTTCTCATTTCTCCTGCAATGAAGAAAACTTGGTTCGCCAAATCATCATCCATCCGGAAACTGCTAAGAATCACCCAGTAACCTTGTTACTGACATTAGACACATTTGACATTTGTCGAAATGATCAACATAGCAAATTAATTCCTTGTGTTAGAAAACAGGGATTAATATCGTGTCAGAAACTTGGAAAGGCGAACCTGTTAACGGAAAATCGTCGATGAAATCCATATTTTCGATTTAAATGCAGATTCCATAAGTTATAGCATATACAATGAATGCACGCGGTGTATGTTTGGTTGCCTATAAAACAATCGTGTATTAATAGACAAATCGTTCATTAATAGGGGTCATTAATGAACGATTTCATATACATTAAACTTAGTCGTTAATACGAGGTCGACGGAAAATAATTTTTAATAGCACTCATTTTCTCTGAAAAAGAAAATATTGACGGGAATCAAAAACCATTTTGTTGAGAAGGGATCAGACTTCATGAAGCTGAGTGTTCACTTTTACAACAGGGCGTCAAGAATTTGAGGGTGAAAGAATAACTTTCGTTTCTCTCTCGTCTATAGCTTAGATCTAGAGCTAGACTCTACTGACTCAAAGCACAAAGTATGAGGTAAAAAATCTATAGAAATACAGACTGGTCTAAATGTGATTAAGATTAGATAGTGAATATAATGAACTGTCTTTTGGAATATTATAAAAATGAAAATATTTTTATAAAAATTCTGAATAAAAATAGCTAGAAAATGGCTAGATGCAAGTTTTAGTAGCTAGATGAAAATGGCTATAACCAGTCATAAATTGTCTGAGTTTGCAGCACTGGAGAAGACTGTCAATCAAGAGAAACAGCGGTGAACGAGAAAATTTGTTGACAATTCCACTCTTGTTCTCGAGAACCAATCAGCCTCCACCATTTTCATGGTTTCTTCTGTATTACAGTGATATTTTTTGTTTATTAAATTTCATCGGACTTTCACTACCAATGTATTAGCCAAATTGGCCCACACGTCAAACGTGACCAACTACCTCGTTTTTCAGCGAAACAATTTTTGACATTCAAAACGTCAGTCATGTTGGAAGTCAGAATGATGGATGCAGTGTTCGCAACTCCCGGGAGTCGCTGGTCTATTGCCTCAATCATAAAATAGCATATATCTACTATTTCTATATAAATATGGCGCATCGCCTATACGATATCTCAACAAAAATGGGACCAAAATGAGAGGTACTTTTTGAATCTATAAGGACGGAAAGTGAAGGATGGAAACAGCCATATCGGTTTCGTATTGTTTTTTTCCCTACGTCGGCATCAACGCCTGTTGGTCGATTTCGTTACCTATAGAGACAGAAGTTGGTCCCGCTTTGAGGACAGCTATGCTTCATATATGAGTAGTATACAGGGTGGGCCACCAGTAACGCCTCGGTCTCTAGAAGGCTAACCATTTGTCTTCTTGGAATTCTTCCTCTCTAGGAAGTTGCATGTCAACATAGGCACCCATTTAAAATTATTTCGAAACATACAGGGTGTCCCCAAAAATCATAAAACACTGAAGTTAAACTTTTTTCTATCGAACACCCTATATATTATTTCATTTTGAGATTCTCCCTGATGAGCTGATTTCAACGACCCATCATACTTGGGGTCTAGCAGTTATAATTACTGAAATATAGGGTGTGAAAAATCGAGATTTTCCAAGTTCAAGAATTTTTTATGTTGAAACTATTCATAATTGGTCAAAACGGCTTACATGTCCCTATCTCAACTTTTGATTAACTATCTACTGATATTTAATTGGGACATATACCGGGTGATCAAGATTCTGAATTCTGCACCACCCTGTTTTTGTTTCAATTAAATGTCAGTAGATAGTTGATCAAAAGTTGATATAGGGACATGTGAGCCGTTTTGACCAATTATGAATGGTTTAGACACAAAAAATTCTTGAACTTGGAAAATCTCGATTTCTCAAAAAGTTCAACTTCAGTGTTTTGTGATTTTTGGGGACATCCTGTATGTTTCAAAATAACTTCAAATGATAGCCTATGTTGACATGCAACTTCCTAGAGAGGAAGAATTCCAAGAAGATAAGTGGTTAGCCTTCTAGAGACCGAGGCGTTACTGGTGGCCCACCCTGTATATGTAAAATAGTCATACCAGTACAACTCGTGATACTATATTTCCTGCGAATATCCGTCGATTGACATACTCCAGCTTGCTGCTTCAATTCGGCTTATGTTTTTGTTCCAAAACTTCTAGCCTACGGATCGAAAGTTTTGATAAACCATGTGTGTTGTAATTTGAACATGTTTTTTTTATTATTATTATTATCGTGTTTTTTTTTTTCAATTTTTATCTATACTACTATGTATTTTGCTTGTGCATCTGTGACCTGTATCTGTACTATGTATTTTTATATGGTCAATAACGACTACTACTACTACTACATTCAAGGAATTATCAGGCAACAAGCTGTGGTAACAATCGCCGAATATTTCCGTCAAAATAATATCACTTGATGTGGTATTACATATGATGAAATTAGCAGCACGCTCACTTTCCTCTCGGCGGACTAGCTTCCTCAATTCAAAATAATACCACAGGTAGAAACGGAGAAAAAGGGCAAATACATCGTGGCCTTCGACCCGCTAGATGGCTCCTCCAACATCGACTGCCTGGTCTCCATCGGCTCCATCTTTGCCATCCTCAAAAAGGACGACAACACCATCCCCACTCTGAAAGACACCCTGCAGCCAGGCAGGAAGGTCGTAGCTGCGGGGTACGCCCTGTATGGTAGCGCCACCATGATGGTGTTGTCCACGGGGGACGGAGTGCACGGGTTCATGCTGGACCCCAGTATCGGGGAGTTCATTTTGACCGACAGGAATATGCAGGTAAAACTTACAGCCTAAATACAATAGACACCGCGGTCTCTACTAATATTATAAATGTGAATGTAAGTTTTTTCACGCCAAAACTACTAAACCGATTATCATTAAACTTTGTATACATATTTTTAGATGTTTTAAACGTTTAAAGAGGATAAAGAAATGTTCCTTACCCCCTTTTGTATACTGCGCAACCATAATTTAATGCCATGCGCACCAGACACCTTGGACACAAAATATCAAATAATCAGACTTGAAACTCTATATGTCGCTACCTTAGATGTAAATAAATTATTAGAATACGTCTTTTGGAATCCGGATCATTCAGATTTTTAAATGTGAATGGCAAATATCTAACCTAACATTAGGTGGACACTTCAAAGGCGCAAATTCATTACTGCATGGGAGATACCCTTCAGGTTTCTTGCTATTCAGTGACTTGACCACGAATGACATAGACGGTTCAAGTCTTCTGCGACACCAAAATCCACGAGAAACCTACAATCTCAATACTAAGAGATTTCGTGAATCGATTATCAGCTAGTTCATTTATAAATCATTAAACAGTATACGCCAACAATCCTTAATACCAAACACTGATATTTGAAAGAAATCACGATTTGTGGGAGTAATTCTGCGGAGAATTAACAATTTGAAGAGCCGACAAGATATCTGTGCCACAATTTATTATCATCCTTACCTCCAGTGTTCTTGAATTCTTACTGACCTTTATCTCTTGATACAACTTCAATGGAGAGGTTTATCACAAGTAAAAAAGTGTGACAAGCATTTCCGCATTTAATCCATTTCATTAGCATTTCAACAATCTCTTGAGTATTTCATACATTTGGGAAGCAGTTTATGTATATCATCCATTCCGAAATGCATCTCAACCAATTTTGTACGGATCCCATAAGAAATAATTCTGTTGCAAGCTCTTTTTGAAGGAATGCAATTTATTTGTCTACCACCAATTAGAATAATTCTAGCTTATATGGTGGTAAATTCGAACGTTTTATGTCAGGTTAGGGTTATGTTAGGTTAAGTCAAGTTGATATCTCATTAGCATGATTTTTACGCAGGTCCCTAAAAAAGGTAACATTTATGCGATAAACGAAGGTTATACTCATCAATGGGACAAAGCTGTCGCTGAATACATTCAGAATAAGAAAGATCCAGCAAAAGGGAAACCGTATAACGCTCGGTATGTAGGATCCATGGTTGCTGACGTGCACAGGACGATCAAATATGGAGGAATTTTCATTTACCCAGCAACCAAATCTTCTCCCAATGGAAAGGTAACATTTTTTTATTGTTGCAGATTCAGATGCAGCAAATTTCCCGGGAATTTTGATAGAGAATGAACTTGAAAAAACTTCAATTCAAATCAATATTATTCACAAAAAAACTGTTACAAATTTTCATGAAGTTTACCAAGTGTTACAACATGTCCCACTTTTAACAAATTTGAGCTAGTATGAATAATCATAAATATGATCAGTTTTTTAGAGGCAAACATCATTTTGGACAGTGCCGTGCGTTTTTATTGAAATAAAAAGGTTTTTTATGACACCATATTAGAAATTACTTGCAGGAAAACGCACTTCATAGTGTTGTTCCTAATGTTTCTGAATTTTCATATGCAAAAAATCAAACTCATTCTGAATCATCAAGAAGGGCTGTATTTTTTCATTTTTTGCCTCAGAAAAATTTCACAACGTTCGAGAGCTCTGGTAGGTTAAGAATGATGGTTTGAAAGAAAAAATAAGATTTACTTTTTTTTGTTGAACTCACCATTTCCGAGTAAATAATTATTTTCATTCGCAAAAATCCTGTTTAGATATCTCTGTTTTTTGAAATTCTGAATAGAAATTCTATGAAAATTCAAAGATAGGAGTTTAAAATCATGAAGAACAATCTCATAAGGTTAGTTTTCCAGTAAAAAAATTCTAATATGATTTCTTGAAAACCTTACCCCCTCTTATTACGATAAAGACACACAACACTCATTTTCTCACGATATTCATTGATTTTACTCAATATTCCATGGATTCAATAGAAAATATACTCATGAAATTAGACTGTCCCAGTAGTAAGTGATAAAAAACAAATAAGCATCTGTTTTTATTGAATCTTCGTCTCTTTGAGTTCCCGTCTTCCAATTACTTTTGAGTCACTGACCACACTGTATATCTCGTTTCGTTCATTTCAGCTCAGATTACTGTATGAATGCATTCCGATGGCTTTCATTATGTCACAAGCAGGTGGCGCTGCTAGTAACGGAAAAATACCGATTTTGGATGTCCAACCAACGAGCATTCATGAGAGATCTCCCATTTTCCTAGGATCCGTCGAAGATGTAGAGGAAGTTCTACAGATAATAAAAAAATACGAAAAATAATTGTAGATTCCACTATTGCATATTGTTTTAAGGTTCCTTCACTTTTTTATAGTTGAACTATGTATAGTTTGATTGAATATATTATCTGAACTGTTTTGACTGTTTTCAGAATATCCTCTTCTTTTCCCTTCATACAAATTTTATCTTCTATAACAAAACCTAAAAATGTAGGCTCCTTCTCCTTCAAATATCACTGCACAATGTCAATGTCATTCGCTACATGAATGTCAATGTCAAAAACAACGGAGATTTAGACAGCCAATGAAATGGACGTTGTAAAGAATCTCGAATTTTGATATTATTTGCTACTCATGAAAAATACCATCAGTTATGGAAAAATCTCTTCTCTCCAAATACCTACTGCAACTCACATAATTGTCAACCTACAAGAAAGATGGAGAATTGAATTTAAATACGATTTACTAGTTATAATAAGTCATCTACTACAGTTGAAATGACAAAATCGGAAGGAACTCAAACACTCCAAGAGAAGATGGTGGCTTTAAAAGAAACTTTACTTAATTGCACTATCAACAGCACTTGAATATGAATAATTTGGGATAAGTTGCTTGTCAGTGAATAAAACGGCATTTGAATTGAAAATATACCTACCAATGCTTGAAAGATTACTGCAATAAAAAAAAAATAAAGGTCATATTCAACGTTGGGTGTTTTCCAAGCTTCAACGTTTTCTCACTATTAGTGTGATACATGCTTCTTTTCCTTCAACTCCATTAAAACCATTATTCGGATTGAAAGAATGCACTCCCTGTATATCTGGGGAAGTTTTCAATATTGAGGTTTTCATTTCACTGAGAAGTTTGTAAAAATTTTATAAACACCTATTTTTTCTTTTTTCGTATGATCAAATTTCACTTCATAAAAAAATAAACAAAAAAGGAACTTGGTTTCTTCATTCCTGAGACACATTCACAAAGAGTTTGAATAAAATTCCCTGTGTCAGTACGACGTTGTCATCAATATGTCTAGATTTCCGGAAATTGTTCTTTGAATAGATTGTAACTATAACAGAAATGGGACATGATAAGTACTTTAATCCTACTTTGTCCGGCATTATGAATATTTTTTATTTTGCAATAGTATCTATAATTTTTCACTTCCGTTATATCAGATATGACAATCATGACTTGTCAGTAATTTTTTGTAAAGGAATTCGTTCATTTATAAAAAGGATATATATTCTAGGAGAATTGCAAACTATATCTTGCAACAGCGCATAATACTTTGATTTTTATTTCCTGTTATTCGTTATCCCATGTCTACAGTTTATAGTTGTTTTGTTAGTTAGTTGAACATCGTTATTTTTCATGATATAACCAACTACGTCGCCCAGTTTTCTTCTTCTATTTTTTTATTCGTTAGCTGCTCGCTAGCTATATTCTTCATCATCAGCTATATTCAGACTAGATTCAGATCGTACGTCATTGTTTGTCGCCCCGAAATTACTTTATTTTGAAAATAAAAACGACTTGAACTTTATCGGTCGCCATTCTGTACAGTGGACGAAAAACTAAGGAGTTCCGAGCTCATTTTATGATTTTTTTTTCATTTAATTCATCTAAAGGAAACATTCCCATTGTCAATGACTCAAAATTTGATTCAAATATTAATACATTCAAAAATTAGACCAGACAGATTTTTGAAAAAATCGCGAGCGCATAGTCAATATCAACTTCAAAACACCAATTTATTCTCACACTGTAGACCACATGCTTATTACCTTCAAATAAATATAACTCACTGGTTGATGAATGGAGGAAAATTCCATACCAACTAAGTTTTGAACGTTAATCAATACAGTTGTTGAAAATTGTCAAAAAGAAATGAACGTGAAGACCTCGCCTTCTCACACTGTCTTCAAAACAATAATGCTTCCTAGTTTGATAATGTCAATCAGTGTTATTGTGAATGATTGACAAAAATCTCGAATTAAAATATCTACTACATTAGAAAATAAATAGGACGGGTTCATCGATTTGCTTCCAATTACCAATTAGCAGCGATGGGAAAATGTGTAGCCCTCTAAATAGTAAATATATTAATTACTCAATATAACAGAGTCTCATACATGACATCGTGAATAAACATAAAATCTAAATCAGATACAGGTAGGAAAAGTCATATACAGAATTTGGTATAGAATATGCATAGGTATCCACAAATTTCTCAGAGCAATATAGAAAAGCTTTATCCATACTTGTCTTGAAGCAAACATAGCAGACTTGTTCATTATAAGTTTTATTATCAGTTTGTTTCTATGAAGTCCTTATGGTTTACCTCATTGCTAAACGTGTTCGAAAAGTCTGATTGACCTTGAAATGTCAATATCCTCGATTATTTACAATAACAAGATGATCCATCTTCATCTAAAATTTTGAAGCCAAAACTCAGCAAAATATGGCCAATTTGTCTCTATCTCGGAATCTGTCTATCTATCTACAAGTGGCTGAACTATCTTGGAATATCCATTTTTCTTTGATATTCTGACATTTAAATAAATAAATAGTATATTGTGCAACAAGTGGGAAAAGTGCTTTTCCCCACATGTTGCACACTATACTTTTTCTACAACTGTACTTATTCAAAGAATCCGAGTAATGTAACTTATTGGTATTCATTTTATAATGTGGCACTATGCCACATTGTATATTGTGACCAAAGAATAGACGCCTTTCCTAGTTCCTCAAAGTATTTCAAAAAAGTACACTTTCCGAAAAAGATTTTATTTCTGTATTTTTTTAGATTCCATAAATTTTACAAACCAATATGCCAATTCATACTTTTTTCTTGAAATTTCCGGAAACAAATCCAACTTTCGCAACTTTTTCCATTATCTCTGTCTCTGGCGGTGTATTTATCAAAATCGTCACATCTTGGTATATACATCATATTATTTATTATAAATTGTTGGAACAATATTTGTAGGAAAATACGATTTTTATCAAAAACACTAATGAGAACTACCCTAAAGAATTCAAAAAACTTCTTCTGGCAGTTGTAACAACTATTCAAAGCTGAACAGCAGCCAAGTTTTGGTCGATTTTTGTTGATTCTCCATGGAAATGTATGTGGTGTTGGTAAAGTGCCGTGAGAAAAAATATTTCTCACAGTATGGGCAATACATGGTTTTGAAACTAAGTAAGCTATGAGAAATGCGCTACTTTTCATAGCAGTAGTAGAAAAAGTTATTTAACCAACTAACCTTATAATATACGAGTTGGTTACACCTTTTTTCCTTCGAATATACAGGGTGTCCCTGAGTCCCTGAAAGGTCTGTACAAAATCTCAGCACATATTCCTGAGGTCAAAACGAACCGATTTAAAGCGACTTACCTCAGTCCGAAGTTTCTACGTTTCCAAGATACAGGGTGGTAAAGTTGAAGAATAAAAATCGAATTTCTCAGAATTTATATTGGGGGTATTTTGAGTTACAAAATATGAATATGAATAGAATTTCTGGCTTCATTGCTCTCATGAGGATGGTTCATTTTGTCATTGCAAATAATCAAGGACAATATCTTCAATTGCTCTGAGACCAACTTACTTAGCGGAAAAAACTTTTTCAAACGCAAGGTTCGACGTAGTTTCCGGGAAAGAGGCCTGTGATGCCGTCCATCACCCCCTCCCACCAGCCGTCGTCGTTCTTCTTCAGGATGTAGATGACGGAGCTCTCTTGGAAGCTGAGCTCGTCGTCCTTGTCTGCATAGTAGTCGTATATGGCGACAACTGGAAAAAAAAAGGATACACTATTTACAGGGAAAAATCAGAAGAGAATCATCACTTGATTACCTGCCAATTACTTTATTTCTAGCTTTTTTCGGTCGATTTCAAAGTGCTAAAATCATCAATATTGCCACGGTAATTCTCAAACGGCTAGAAATTTACAGAGAACAAAAACTGACGACACAATTTTGTAAGTAAGGGCAGATCATAGCACAGTTGTCATATGTTGAAATACGAATGGGAACTTCAAAATTCTCATTCAAGTATTAGGAAAATCCATTGTCTCAAAATTGTCCCTCTTATGTATCTATTAATTCACACTAGAGGACATTTTTTGGTCCGGTACACGTGACATCACAGGATTGTGGTCGTTGTGTCTTGTCAGTTCCCAGCATTTAGCACAGCATTGCCAAGTCTCAATAGCCAATATTTATATGATGTTTTGTTATGGAGTATAAGAAATATTTCGACAAGCTGTTTGCTCGAAGAAGTCACAGATTAATAACTATAATATTATGGTTTCCTCCTATTAGGTCAAATGAAATATTTTATTTGGATATAGGTATTGTTATTCAACGATAGGGCTCTAACAACTTTTTAATAACTTGATTATAATTGGTGATCTGATAACCTTGCTTTATGAGTGGGAATAGAAGATTATCTGGCCAATAATGAAACAGCATAAGAACTGCCGTTACTATATATCCGACGTATCCCAGAACATGGCAAAATGACGGCAGTGACGGCTCGTCAGGGACGGCAGGGTCAGCCAGACCGTACCAGAAAATTTGAGAAAAAATATTTTTTCTATATTTGTATGTTGAGGTTGAAATCTACGAACTGAAAGAGAAAATAAGTTTCGAATGGATACACGAAAATGAAATGAATAGTTGATGTTTTTTGAATTTGCAATTTTTCAGTTATTCCTAATTCAACATTCCTCAAATATTAAAATCAGTACTGATTTACGTTCAGCGCTTCTGAGTGGCAATAATTCGAGTATAAGTTTGATATTGTATATGCAATGTGACTAATAATATGGCAAAAGAAATTTCAGCAGTCCCAGAGCCAACTATTGAAAAATCGAAAAAAAAAGCTCTGGTGATGCAAATGTATGGAACTTCTAGAATATTATTTATTTTTAAAGACGCATGTAGCGGTAATGAATATTATGTACTTTGCCTCCACCCCGGGAAACATTTTAAGGACACTTGACGATACAAGTAGGTATGACCGGTCGATCGGGAAGGAATGGAGTGGGTTGTTATTAGTCATTGTGCTGCTTTGTTGTATCGTGTATTGAAGTGGTTGGGAATAGTTCATTAGGGCTTCAGATTTAGCAGAAAAAGAGAGGTAGTATGATCTGGTAAGCAGTTTATCATCATTTCATTGAAAACAAAAACGAACTAGAGCATCTACCCTTCCGGACCCAGGTTCTGAGGGCAGGAGCTGTCACTGCATGACGGTACGTTTGAAATGATCTCTGAAATTCAACAATTTCAAACAACGCATAGACACATTATTTACATGAAAAACGAGTAAGAAGTGTTGAAAAAAACTAATTCAGGTTAGTAACGACACAGTGGAGTAACTGAATGCCAATTATTCACTATCTGTCTAGTAGCCCATTACTGTCAGATTGAGTGCCACTTGTCAAATGTTTTATCAATGTCAATTAAAGTTATTTTGAAAAACGTGCGTCCAAGAAGTTGCTTTTGCAGATTTTATTCATATTCGAGATTTGACAGCCTGCCGCCAACCTCACAATAGGATATGTCTAAATGTTGAGAATATGTTCAATTCTAGGGGGAATTTCATACAAACATGTGTCTATCTTGGGCGTATATCGATAGAAAATTGCGAGTTAGCAACATCAGAGGCGTATTTTTTATTATCGAAACTTCACAGATGGAAAAACTGCCTTACCTCAGGAGCAAAGTTCTCCGGAATATATCAAAATAAAATCGAATCACGAAAATTGAAAGTTGGTAGATTCACAGGTGCACCCATTTAAAAAAAAAATGAAAAACATTCGAGAATTTTGACTTCAGGAACGCAGTTTGTTTCCCGAAAAAGTTTTACCGAGAGAACAGAAAATATATCGAAAAGTTGAAGTGAAACAAGAAAACTCTAAACATCCTTGACACACATAGATAGAAAATTGATTGTTCGCAGCTTCATGGGCGCGCCCATTTTTATCAAAAATTTTACGAAACAATATAATTTTCAATTCCAGAGCCGCACACTCTTATTTCCGTGGAGGTCGTCAGTGAAATCGCGAATTTACTAATATCCACCCACGCCACACCTCCGCCCACGCCCAATAATAATGCACTAAGAATTTTAGAATTTCTTCGAGGTGAATCAAAAGATTATTATTGAAATCACGACTGCAGGATTTTTTCGAAAAAAAAAATCAATTCTTGATTTCAAGGACCCACACATATTTTTCCAAGAATGTCGTTGATAAAATCAGCTGAACCAACAATAAAAAACCAATGAAAAATAGAACCCACCTTTCTCAATATAATTCTTGGGCACCCAACCAGGCAAATCCTCCTCATCGGGCACGATGGGCATAACCCCGCCGCCCTGACTCCTCGGCCGCCCGAACGCCGCTTCGTGCTCCTCCTCCTCCTCGGGCGGCGGCGGCGGAGGTAGGGGCGGCGACCTCGCCCCGCCTCCACCCACGCCCATATCTCTGCCCACGCCCATATCTCCACCCACGCCCATATCTCTGCCCACGCCCTGCCTCATGCCCAGGTTGTGGGCCAGCGCCTGCGACATGCGGTAGCCCTGGGCGTGCGACAGGGTGTGCATGCCGAGGCTGCCCAGGGGCACGGGGCCCAGATGGCCGCCCATCGTCATCATGGGGTGGTGCTGGTTGGACGAGAGCAGCATGTCTTGGGTGTTGATGAGCGGAGAGGGGGGAGCTGGAATAGGAAATTGCATCAACACCTTGAATGCCATTGTCCAGTATACTCGACATTTGAGATTTTCACACGTATACCGCGTCCACTTAACTGGACGCCATTAAACAGCGAGTATATGCACTATCTTTTGGTGTCTAAGTTGGTTTCATATGTATAGTACGGGATAGAGTTGAGGATTTTTTGGTTTGCTTTGGCAATTGGGATGAAAATATTAAAATAACTGTGGCAACATGCATGGTGCGAATCACATGATTCGCAATGCCTTTTTCGCGCATTTGGTCATGATAATTGGCTGATTTTCGAGGTGATTCGAGTAGTAAATAGTCGTATCATCATCCAAAGCAAATTTTGGTGTACGTTAAGGAGCTTTTCGTGGAAGAGTGTTAAGTTTAGTAAATTAGTTCTGACATATCTACAAATGATAATGACGCAAACCCAAGGTAAGGCCTGCCTAATTTTGTTGAAATGTCCGAATGATAAGTACTTTGCATAAACATTCGATGGTTGAAATTCAAGGAGAGAGAGCTAATAATAAGAAGATTAAACCTGCATGTGTTATTGATTATAATAAACACATGTCAGGTATTGACCGCTCCGACCAAATGATGTATTATTCCACTCCAAGAAAAACCTTGAGGTGGTAGAGTCCGACCACGTTAACTTTGGGACAGCATGTGACGCAATGCATATGCATATTCAATGCATACGCGACCACGTGCTGTCCCAAAGTTATCGTGGTCGGACTCTACCGCACATTTAATTTCAATTTGTTGGATTTGTGTATGTGGAATACTTATTACATTTATAATCTTCATCAGAATAAAAATGTCAGACTCTTGGACTTTCATGAAGAAATAATCATGAAGCTTATGGATCAGCAAATAGAAACTTTTGTTGAAATTTCTCAAACCGAAACAACAAGAACAAACAAATTAAATTTTTTGGAGCCGAATCAATCAACAGAAAAAAATATCCGAAATGAAAAGATGTTGCCAATGCTTGAACAAGAAAGAAAAAAAGAGAACTAGTAATTTTCGCCCTGTTTGCCCGAAAAAACCTGGCTTATGTGTCAATCCTTGCTTCAAAAATTGGAATTCATCGTCCATTTAGGTTTCTCATAACTAGATTTGATCTCATTTTTACTTTTTTGTATTCAATAAAGGAAATGAATAAGTAAATACACTTAGTTCAGTTTTTTTCCATGAGATGTGTATGTCCAGTTTACTGGACAGCGGGCTATACATGCTGAAACCTCAATTAGCCCGCTGTGCAGTAAACTGGACAGCTGCTGGTGACCTTGAAAACGTTAGCATGAATAAGCAAGACCATATATTCTCAAATTACGCTCGAATAAATAATAATTTACTCAAACCTAGCCTTGGTTTCTCAGAGCCTCCTACTCCAGCCATACGTGGCATTCAACGAGTTAATAACATTTTATTTTCATTGTATGTTTCAATTTTATCTTTTCATTTAATGCTACAAATTATTCACAATTTCTTGTATTTGTACTAACACAAATTGATCGACTATTTCCTATCAATGAACTGTATGTAAACAACTGGAAGGGACCCACTGTGAACGACGAGTGAGGCAAAAATATTTTTCAGGCAACCCGCAGTGTTTACGGATACCTATCTCTATCTTGTGTTGGCTAATGGGAAGCGCTCGCATAATTTGAAATATTTTCTCGTTTTTTGCTTCTATTTAAGAGTAAACGTGATTGAATAAAAATATTCATTTAGGAAAAAGGATAATGTTGTAATCAATTATCATTAAAAAATTATTACTGATTTTTTTATTGACTTTAAAATGAAATTTCAATATTACTCTTACAGGATCAGGAAGTCAAATGAATACAAAATTGGAATTATATATTTTTATTCAAATTTCACGATATATTGTACAGGGTGAGCGAAGCACAATGTCTCAGAACTATCAGAAGGAAAAGAAAAACGATAGGAAAAATTTGAAAAGAGGTTCTTGAATGGTATTGATGAGTGCATTTTGAGCATAATTTCCATAGGTTCCCATTCCTCCATTAGGTCACTCATTAATTGTCATTACTATATCCACTGTTGGAAATTGATTGAACTACTTATTCTTTCATGTTTGAAATTTTTAGGTCTCTCCTTTTTACTTTTTGTCTCAGTGTGTTCACTTTTCTCCTCAATACAATATCCTTCTCTAATGAAACAGTTTGAGTTTCTTCATTGATCAACTTCTTCGAAACTTGGGAGCTGGAAGTGGTAGGCAAGTCAAAGTCAATAACATGGGAAACTTCTTTCTTTGGACCCAAGTTATGAACGTCCACAGATGCATCCTGAAAACAAATTACTAGCTAGTTTTTTTATTTTAAATAGGTGCAAACATACTTCTTTTTCATTATTAATCAACTAGGTACCTATGAGTTTTCTTATTTTCCTAGGGGAATCAGCATTTTTTGATAACAAATGCTGAGGAAATGAAAATATACTGGGTACAGCATCTGCTTTCAAAAACCTAGCAGTACCTGGTATGCCTGAATAATCTGTTGGCAGGAAATGCTCCCCACAAAGCTTGCTGCTTTTAGTTGGAGTCCAATTCTCACTAGGAACTGCCTTTATCCATATAATTCGAGAATGTCTGGTCTTTTGAATGGAAAACTGCAATAAATAATATTACTCAATATCAATATGGAAGTATTTAACTTTGACAAATAATATAGGTATAGTTTTTGAACATATTCTGAGACTGGACATTGTAAACCTAACTGATGATCATTTCATGAACTATATTTTTCAAAAATCTGAGAACAATATTCAACTTACCCATGGAATGCTAATTTCCTTTTGTTTTGTTCATTCTTCTTGCATCCAAAGGCGACACAATAAATCACCATTGTTTATCAATACTAATCACAAACCTTCTCAACAATCAGTTCAGTGTTCACAACAACAAATTCAGTCCTTTTGTTACAACAAAACACGCCAAATGAATAGATATTTCACCTCCTATTTCACATGAACTAAGACAATGAACTTATGTCTTCACTTTCTTGCCTGTGTAGATGACAGAAAAAATTCTTTACTACTTTAATTATTAGATAAAAGAAAATTTATACACCAATCCACCATTAAACAACACGAGTTGGAAGAGGACAGGTATCCGTAAATCATGCTATCTTTGTTGCAGCTGCCCCTGACACACTTTGTGCTATTCGAGAGAACGATCGTATCCCTTCCAGATGTATTGAGTTCATTGTTTCCTATACATGTTGAATGTCAAAAGGATAATAAACTACTACTAAACTCACGCGGCATGCTCATATGGTGGTCCTGCCCGTACCCTCCGCCCTGGGGCGCGTTGGGCGGCGGCGGCGGGGGTGGCGTCTGCGGCTGCACCGCCTGTTGCTGCGGGTGCACCGTGCCCACTTGCGGCGCGGCCGCGGGCAGGCCCACGTGGGCCAGGGGCAGCGTGCCGTAGCCGGGGCCGCGCTGCTGTTCGCGCCTCGGGTGGCCGATGGGGTAGTTGGGCGCATAGTGGCTGGGCACCTGTAGAGCGAGTAGATTAATGGGGCTCTTATAGGGCCGGTTGCATAAAAGCTCATCAATTATTTGATGTCACTTCAAATATTTGATGCGACGTTATAAATGGAATTCGATTGCATAAAAGGCTCATCATTTACTTGACGACATGGTGAATTAATCATCTGATTAACTATTTAAATAAAAATCGGTTGCACAAAGGCCAATCAACTTTAGATGTCACATCAAATCGACTTATTCATGGCATCAACTTAATCAGTGCTCGGCCACTTATTAAAGTGACAACCAGCTAATGACTCGTGAAAGTTCCGCCAAATTATTTAGAATATTACATGTGGAGTACCGCAAGGATCAGTTCTGGGACCAATTTTATTTTTAATTTATATTAATTCAATATCAACTCTGAAATTGAAAGGAAAGCTAAAATTATTTGCGGATGATACAACATTGATTTATATATCGAAGGAATTAAATGATATCGAACGGGATATTACAAGTGATTTGGAAAACATATCATCTTGAATGCAAATTCATAAGTTGACTCTTAATTATAACAAATCTTCATATATGTATATTTCCAAAAGATCAGTTAATATTTCGAATAATGCTATAACTTTCAACAATAGATTAATTAAATATACAGACGTGACAAAATTTTTAGGTCTCTATATCGACGAAAAATTATTATGGACTAAACATATAGACTATTTGAGAAATAAAATAAACCCGATCATAGGCATTTTATTCAAAATCCGAAATATTATTTCCATAAAATACTTGAAATGTATTTACTTTTGCCTCATTTATTCAAATTTGCAATATTTAATTTCTATTTGGGGGAGTACAAATATTTCACGTCTGAAACCACTAATGAAATTACAAAACAAATCAATTAAGTGCATTTTTCATCTACATTTTCTAGAACCAACGATAAATTTATTCAAACCAAGACATTTTCTGAACCTGATTTCGTTATATAAACTCAAAATATGTTGCTTTATTCATTTTGCGAGGAATAAATTGAAAATATCAAAATTTAGCTTTCAATGAAGTCAATACAGTCCATAATTATGGGACTAGACAATTGAATTACTTGATAGCAAATACATTCAAGTCAAACATTGGCAAACAATCTGTTTTTCACAATGGAATAATTTTATACAATTCATTACCGAATGAGTTGAAAAATATACATGATGCAAGAAGGTTTAAAATCAATCTTAAGAAATACTTGCTCGGGACAATTTGAAAGAAAAATATGTGGCATGATTTGATTACTTAGGAATGAAATATAACTTTAATCTTATAAGACACAATATTAATTCGTTTCCACTGAGTGGAATTCATTATAGTTAACCCTTTATTATTATTTTTTATATGTATTTATGTATCACTATCATAAACAGAAATGTTTCTTGGGGTAATAAAGACAATCAATTATCAATCAATTTTTGCAGAATCTGGAAAAAAGTTTGAGTCCTAAGTTCTTGTTTCATTTCAAAAAGGTAGAGTAGGTAAATGAACACAATAATGTAAGTGAATGACTATTATAGGTATTACAGGCCAAGAACCTTTCGATATAGAAGCAAACCATTCGAAATGTATGATGACAATGATTTCAATAACCGATTCAGATTTTCTGTAACTTCTGTCAATCTGAATGAATATCAAGCCAATGAACTCAATGTTGTTTACATTTCAGTTCATTGTATCAAGCAAATAAACCTAACCTAAAAGGCGTATCAACAATGCGCGGAACGCAAGGAGCAGACAGATTAGCGCTGTTGTCACGCCCTTTTCGTCATTAGTAAATGGAATGATTATTATAACATCAGATTGTTTATGCAACGCAAAAGACATTTAACATAACAACAAAGTTATTGTGGCACCAGTTGATTGTATGATTAATTTTTCTTTATGCAACCGGCCCGTGAATATCGCTGAAGGGTATGTGCAGCAAACTCTCACAAAATAGCAAAATATTTCGAACCAAATTGTGGGTCACTGAATTTTTTTTTTATGAATTTATACACAGTATACCTACTTCTTTGTTACGTTCATCAATAAATTATTTGGAAATGACTTTTTATTCAAGGGAGGCGGAAAAATCATACGTATAACATGGGGGTAAAGTATATTCTAATCTTCATTTCTGCAATTTCACGTATTACTTTTTATAAGACTACTTTTCGTCCTAGAATTAGTCACTCCATAAAATTTTCTCAGAGTTGGATTTCCGAAAATATATTTAGCACACATGACATGAGTACAGTAGTTCAGATACCCACATCGAGGTTTTCACCATTTCTCAATCATAAGGCTCAGCTCATTCAGCTCATAGTTAAAATACTGCTCAGCTTGAAATCAGAATTCATTCAGTCAATTCAGTCAACCCTGGTATACAGTCTAAGAACAGTCTCTTTTGGTGAAATATATCAAGCTTTTAGTACAAATTATATGTTCCCTACCTCGCAAAGAATATGCTGGAGTAGTAAACTCTAAAACTTGGATTGTTCAACTATATCTTGGTATAGTTGAATCAGGTATTCCATATGGAAATTACGTATGATACGCCAATGACCTCAATATAACCTAAAAAACAACAAATGTCGAAAAATCTGATAGGTATTTTGAGCCGATACCACTCGATACATCTAGAAATCTCAGAGTAGCTACTCCTTTGATTTATTTCCACTATGTGTGACCAATATTTTTAAAACAAAAATTGTTCGCCTGTATATCACTGTGGTAAATTATTTCTTGGTAATGGAAAGGTTTCGATCTCTTCACTACATATTGTATGTTAAGTTCTTCCATAATCACGAGAATTTTGGAAAAAATATATGTAAAATTCTTCCATATCGTTAGTGATTTTCGAAAAAAAATAGCACCTGTATACAAAATATCTCCCCCCCTCCCGTATAATTCCATTATCAACATTAGTCATAGATAAATAATTTTTTATTCGGAAATTAATCCGTTATCAGCATGATTCAACTTATTAGTCATTCATTCGGGACCAGATGGTAAATCGAGACAGTCTTATATTAGATGTCATCACGAACGGTCGAATTTTGTGATCGACATCGAAAAATACGCGAAAGGAATTATTTATCGTTCCAAACTGAGTATTCCCTAAAAACTGAGTGATCGCATTGATTCGTATATAGTGTTTTTGTCTAGTGTTACGTGTTGTTTCATCAGAGCCTCACTTTTTTCACGCTGGTGAGTGCAGAGAAATTCTCTCAATTTTTCCTCATATTTCTTTGTATTCATTCAACTTCATTATACTATACAGGGTATGTCACGACGAGCTTACACTATCTTTAAATCGAGAATCAGTCGGAAGAAATCCATGAAAATGTGCATGCTTATATTTTGGTATACGCTCTTTTCATTGAAGATATGTTCGACAATGCAGTGTTGCCGCTTCTACTAGAAAGTAGTACCAACATTGATATTTCGAACAGAACACCCTGTATTTTATCGCATTTTAAGATTCTCCCTGAAGAGCTGATTTCATCGATGTATCATACTTGGGGTTTATCGAAAATGATTACAGAGATATAGGGTGTTCAAAATCGATATTTTTCATCTTTACGATTTTTTTGTGTCGAAAATATTCATTATCGGTCAAAACGGCTCACATGTCCCTATCTCAACTTTAGTTTCACTATTTACTGATATTCAATCGGAACAGACACAGGGTGATTCAAGATTCAGAATTCTGATCACATGCATATTTTCATGGATTTCTCCCGACTGATTCTCTATATAGAGATAGTGTAAGCTGTATGTTTCGTACGGTTTGTTGTAGTTTCTCCGATCAAGAAATAGTTTCTTCTGATTTTGGTGCTTCCTGTTCGAAACTGTATCTTTTAAGAATTTACCATCTTCAATAACTGTGATACAGAACGTAATCTTGATTTTGGCAAAATCTTAATCTATGGTCAGGTCATAACTTTTGAACCACTGTGTATAATCGATTCATACTTGGTGGGTATATTCAACTCATATTTCTCATCAAAACTAAATATGAATCGAATTTAGAATCCAGATCCGTCTTCAGGCAAAACAAAAAACTTTTTTTTAACAGTGCTCATCCAATTTGAAAAATAGAATTTTTATTGAACTCGTTATTCAAAAATTCCAATTTTATTACAAAAGAATAACCAGTCCTCAAATTTCAACTTAATTAAAGCCGAATTAGGTAAACTATCGATGGATTTCGTTCCATAGAACAATTTGTCAATTATTTTAGATATTTTCGAGTGCTCATTACATTTTCACACACACGAATTAATTAAGTATTTTACACTCTTGAATTTTTGTACGTAGATTCATATTCCGAAATTATTTATTCTATACCTTTTCAACTTCAATTTCGGAAAAAGTAATCTCGATTTCAGAATTGGCTAGTTCGATTTCAGAAATGGTAAACTCAATTTCAGAATCGGTGAGATGAATTTCAGAAAAAGTCCATTCAATTTCAGAAATGGTAAGTTGTATTTCAGAATTGGTAGGTTCAATTTCAGAAAAAAAATCCTTATATTTGTTCGAAATGTTTCCAATTGTATGTGAGATTAACAAACCATATTTCCAATATTCAACTTGTCAAAAACAATTCAATAACATAATTATAATCTCAATTTAATCCACAGATGCCTTCCATCCGAATCGCTGGAAGATAATTAGTATTGTCAGTAATTTTATATACATACAGTGTGTCCACCTTAAGGACTTACCACCCCTGTAAAATCATTATTATCCGACCAATTTCAAAAAACCTTTTTTGTTGGATAGGTATTTGAAATGCCCATCCAACGAGCCAGTGATCTAATTCTTGGACTGTTATCGTGGCCAACTGCGACAAATTTCAATGACCCATATTCCAGAAAGTACTATTAGAGATTTTTTTCCACGAAACTTGATGATGGATTCTGAATCAGTAACACTTGAAATATACCTGTACCGATTTTCATCATCATAAAACACAGGGTGTCCGA